GATGATTTTTCATAGACCCTTAAAAAGTGCAGTCACAGATAAGCATATTTTTCTTAGAGCGAAATGCATATTGTTCTCTGAGCTATACAAATCTTGCTGTTCAAGAAGGGATATGTTGAAGTTCAGTATGACATAGGCCATAATAACGATGACTCAATCAACCAAGATGGCATGTTTTGTATGTATAGAAGAGAAATCACTTTGGAGCTAATCACTGAAAAAACTACATAAGACTCCTTGCCCTTAATTGATAGGTAGAGCTGGTGCTAATTAATACAATCACCTCGGAAACAAATTAGGCCGATGCTGCTTGAAAAAAAATACGATGGAAAACAACGTAATATACGATAATCACAAGACAAAAGAGCACATCTATCATGTAGTTTTCGTAATACAACCATGAAAATATATGACCAAGACATGCAGAATAAAATGAGCAGCTTTGATTTAGGGAACCAGAGAATGGCTGTCACCAAAGGCTACTTTTATATACATCAAGAACACTGAACCTTTTTTGTCATGAGCCAGAGCAAACCATTAGACTGAGACATCCCTTTTAGGTACACATTAAATTCAGCCCTTGGTTGTAGCACATGAAACACATTGAAATAAAGATGTGTACACCGAAACAGTAAGGTATATATTTTTTAGTTTAAATGTATAGCCACTTGCTCTGATGTATTCCGAAATAACCGGATAAACCAATTTGTATGTGCAACATATGACACTACATCTCATCTCAAGTAAAACAATGTAGAACTATGCTAAGCATGAGGTGCCATCGTATAGAACAAAGCAAGCACAGAAGGCATACTGCAGCATAGGCATCAGCAAATTGGTTTATCCGAATATACAGCCTCTTCTTTTAGTTGGTCTTTCCAGGGAGTGTTCCCTTCCCTTGTTGCATGCAGTACATTGTTACCTGAGGGTGCCTCTGTTTGTCAGTAGAATCTTATCACATTGTCGTGAGGAACCGATGCATCCCTGGGCATAGAATAAAAGTTGGAGATGAGATGAAACAAAAATACATTACATGTGAGGACAAAATTTAAGCTAACCGGAAGAAAATAAGCAGAAGTTCCTGCAGAATGAAGAGTGGAAGGAGGTGGATCTACAGAAAAAAGAGGACTGTGATGAGGGAGGAGATGGCGCACAGGTGGAATTCAACCAGGAAGAGCGGTGATGCAGCACAAGAATGCAAATTTTGGAGGAGTGGAGCCGGCAGCGGGCCAGCATGTCCATGCTGATGCGAACCTGAGATAAGTTTGGGAGAGCCGTCGTCGTCGCAGCCTGTGCATCTTGGATCCGCGCACCCAGCCACCAGCAAGGTCGGCCACTGCATTGGCGTGCGCTAATGGCGTGGGGGAGGAAGCATGGCCACTAGGGGAGACAAAGAGGCGGAGGTGGCGAGGCGGCATGCTGCGCAGAGCCGTTCCTGACCTCGTCACCGGGGACACGCCGTGGCTGGGGATGCGACATTGTGCCGCCGCCGCCGCCGAGGCAGGTGCTGGCATGGTCTAGGCCAACACGCTGTGGAGGAGGGCCGTGGCACGTGGGGGCCAGAGCGTCGGCCTGTAAGCCGGCGAGACACAAAAGGCGAGGCGAGGAGTGGAGTAGGCAAGAAGAAGTCGGAGTGGGTGAAGATGGGTATGGCGGCGGCGCGTGCCGGGAGCGGAGGAGGCGAGGCGACGGAGGGGGCGAGGATGGGGAGAATACGTGGAGAGGCACCGTGCAGCCAATTTATTTTTTTCGGTCAAAGCGGCGTGGACCCGTTTACAACGCCGTAGGCGGAGGCCAAGACACGAGAACCGGCGGAGCCCGTGGATTGACCAAGCTTTTACCGGCACTCAGCAGTCACGGATGACAGGTGTGATGCAGGCACTGAAAGTTTACACGCGGATGCCCTGGCCGTCGTCCAATTTATCCCTCGTCGAAGATCTACTAATTACATGGTACTCATTTTGTGGGGCACACGTACGTAGTATATATGATATGATGGCGATGCTACATGTATGCGTGAGCATCTAACTAAGTCGCGGCGCGTGGAGACGCGCGCCTCCGAGGATGGGCGTGACGGCTCCGAGGCGAAACACGCACAAGCACTGACACTGGGCTAGACCAGATCTGGGCCCTTGAATCATGAGAGAGGGAAAGGAGGCGCGCACACGCACGAGCTCCCGATGCAGCGTGGATGGTGGGCCTGAGGGCATGTCCATCCCGATCGGTAGCAGGAAGCGAGCCCGCAAGGCAGCGGCAAGCAGAGAGGTGGGGACTGGTCGAGCAGAAGACGTGGAGGATACGGGCTGGATCTACCGTACGTGAACAGCAGCAGGATCGCTGTGGGAGCGCGGATGCTAGGCGAGCCCGCAAGGCAGCGGCAAGCAGAGAGGTGGGGACTGGTCGAGCAGAAGACGTGGAGGATACGGGCTGGATCTACCGTACATGAACAGTAGCAGGATCGCTGTGGGAGCGCGGATGCTAGGAGCTTTATGGAGTTTAATATTCACAAGCAACATACAGGCAGCATCTCTTCCTCCGGACAAATGAGCCAGGTTGCAACCAAACAAGCCCTATACTCCTATGCCGCAGTCCCATTGTCCGTCACGCCGCACGCTGCTTGTGTACGGGTCGCAGGGAAGGCGAATGCTCCACGAGACCAAGCGGGTGGGCCAGGCGGGCGAGCTGCTTAAATTTCGGCTGGTCAAGTGGTGGCAGATCAAGTCAATCAAGAAGAGAAATACATGGGTCTGGAAACGAGCCCATGCTCTAGACTGTTTTGGAGGCCTGGAGCCCATTGCGTGTCTCACGGGCCTAAAACTGTTTACCTCTGGGCTCTCACCCAGATTTTCCCAAAGGGAAAAGATCTCCTCTCCCTCCCTCTTCTAAAAAAAACAGTACCCTAGTAGTGGTGAATCAGTGATGTCTTGCAATTTTAAACTCGATGTCTTTTCAAGGTTCCCGTGTTAGGTCGAATAATCGTCTTTTTCCCAAGTGCGCGGCTCCGATTCGACGACAGAACCGAGGCTTGTTTCACAAAGCCAGGCTATGCGAAAACACCGATAGCGTGAGATGAACCTCTGACCTTTGTACGACAGAAAAAGAAGCAATAAACCTGGCCGCCTCTGCGTGCATGCAGTGCGAAGTGGGCGCAAAAGCGAAGACACAAGGCCCGCGAAAGCAGCAGCAAGCTGCCTGGCGAAGTGGACATTGACGTCGACGCATCAGTTGCCGCGCAATCCTCTTCTTTGTTTATGTTCCCCCGGCCCCCTGCGCTGCACTTCCTCGGCTCCTCCTCCTCCATGGCTGCACCTTGGAAACCTGATTCCCCATGCCATGCCATGCCAATCATAGATGGCCAACGGGCCGGCCCAGGCCGGCCCGGCATGGCCCCGTGCCAGCACGACCCGATAGCCAACGGGCCGGCACGGCACGTCGTGCCTCCCGGGCCGGCCCTCACAGGTCCACGGGCCTGGCCCCCGGCCCAGGCACGGCACTATGGGCCGATTTTCGTGTCGGGCCGGCCCGCGAAGCACGACCAATTTCACAGGCCGTGTCAGCCCGAGGCCCACTGGCTGCCGACAGAGAGAGAGAGAGAGAGGGGAAGGGGGTCGACGTCGCTCGCCGCCGAGGAGATCGACGCCGGATCCGGAGGAGGCCAGCGCGCTCGCCACCGAGGAGGTTGACGCCCTTGAAGCTGGATCTGGAGGAGCCGCTCGAGGCCAGCCACCACGCTTGTCGTCCCTCGATCCGCCGCCGGGGACGCCACCACCCTAGATCCACCGCCGAGGCCGAGCACACCCTGGATCCGCTGCCAGGGGATGCCACCACCCTTGATCCGCTGCCGGAGGACGGGCATGCCCTGCATCCGCCACCGGTGAGCGCGCCCACCCTGGATCCGCCGCCGGGGAGCGCCACACGCCTCCTCGCGCGTGGATCTCATCGTCCTCCACCTCCTCGCGCCGAATCTCGTCGGGGTTGCGAGCTCGGTGGATTCGGCGCTTGCTCCTGGCTACACCGCCGCCCCTCGAGAAGCGCGCGTCGCCGCTCCTCGAGGACCGCGCGCCGCCGCTCTAGGGCCATGTGCGTGCCGGCATGGTGTGGTCTCGATCGATGGAGCTGGAGAGAGGGGGCGAGGGGCTAGGGCAAGACGGGAGCACGGTGGCGCCTTGAGGAGTGTGCGGTGTGTGGCGCAAGGCGTGAGCGACGGGAAGGAAGGGAGGAAGGAGTTAGGGTTGGGGCGCGTGGGGCTCTGTGGGGAGGGAGGGAATCAGGGGTGGCCGGGTGGGAACTGGGAGCGTGGGACTACGGCTGCGCGGCCGCATGGGGGAAGAGATTGCGGCCTGCGACAGACGAGCATGCCATGCCGCCAGCGAGCCATCACGGCCTGCTCCTCCGGGCCGTGCTAGCCCGGACCCGCTAGCCACCGGGCGGGGCCGTGCAAAAAAAAAACAGTGTCAGTCTGCATGGCCAACTATAATGCCAATATGCCCATGCCCTTTCGAAAACGACTGTCGACACTGCCCCTCTCGCTCGCTTTCCACTCGATTCCAGCAGGCGTGCGTGGCCCAAGTACCCAACCCACCACCAGGTGGGGCCTCTGCTCCACCCCCACTCCACTTTTACCGGCACAACAGCCTCACCGCCCGCCGCAGCCCCACCAGGCCACCACCCCACGCCACACGACACGACGCGACGCGAGACGCGAGACGCGAGACGCGAGACGCGGAGCAATACAAAAGGTGGACTGGCTGGTTCGACTGCTACCAGCACCAGCCACCAGGCACACCCCCACCACTCCACCAGAACACCAGGCACCAGCGAGCGAGCGACCGACCGACCGAGCAGGCAGAGAAAAGCAAACCAGACGAGACGCCTCGCGTCCCGTCCTCCCTACCCTGCCGTTCCCCTTCTTCAGTTCTCCCGCTGCTGCGTGCTGTGCCTGCTGCTGCCTTCCGTCCGCGTCCAGATCCCGCCCACCAACCGATCTGGCGCCCTCCAGCATGGCGGCGGCGGGGAAGGCGGCGGGTGCCCTGGCGCTGGCGCTCGTGCTCGCGCTCGCGGGGGCCAACTCCGAGGGCGACGCGCTCTCGGCGCTGCGCCGCAGCCTCAGGGACCCCGGCGGCGTGCTGCAGAGCTGGGACCCCACGCTCGTCAACCCCTGCACCTGGTTCCACGTCACCTGCGACCGCGACAACCGCGTCACCCGCCTGTGAGCCGCCGCCTCCTCTGAACTCTACCTCGTTCTCGACCTTTCCCCCCTGCGGTGGCTTGTGGATGGGGAGCGTATGTATCGATTCCCAACTTCAATAAACCGTTGATGGGTTACCTGTTGTTAGATGCGACCTGTAACCTGTTATCCGTGGACTTGTTACTGTGCCGTTAGACTCTCTTTTTTAGATAATGGTGCCCTTAGACTCTCTGGAGCTACAAGCTTGTTTCGATGACATATTGGCTGGTAAATTGATGGTTCCTAAAGTTAGTTTGTGATTGGAAAAGGAATGCCAACTAATGAGGTAGGCTGCATAAGGGCTTAGGCAATCAAGTAGGAGTTGGACTTCAAGCTTAGTTTGCGAACTGATTTGTGAAGTTTTAGTGGAGCTGAGTTTAGGATTGTGTGATCTAGATTGTCCTAAACTGATCAGTAAAGGTTAGCTTGCGCAGCTAGCAGCTTAGTGGGTTAGTTAGGGGATTGTGGTCTTTGCAAAAAGAGATTAGGGGATTGTGGCAGAGGATTGTTAATGTTGTGGCGCCAAATAACCTTCTACATAGAAGAGGCTGGCAAGTCCCAAAAGGTACAGATATGTTAGCTACTGTGCTGGAAGTATTGGATTACAAACACCAGGCAAATAGTGTTGGAATGATTGCTACCACTTAAAATCACCATTAAATTTCCATTGCTTTCATTCTCTCTTTTGGTACTTCAATTTGATAGTGGTTCAACTAATCTTTTGATATATCTTTCTGTCGATCATTTATGTGAGAATAACTTAACTCAAAGGAAAACTCTGTAGATAACAGACTGGTCAGGATTTCATATTTCGTTGAAGTATTTATGACAATCTAAGACACACACATGATCTGTAGAAAACCTTTGGATGACAAGCTTGTATTTTATGTCTTTCAAATTTTAGAGTAGTACTGTTTTCTGATTGTTGCTTGGATACCTCTTCGGCTCTTCTAACAGAGATCTTGGTAATCTGAACTTATCTGGTCATCTAGTGCCTGAACTTGGGAAATTGGAGCATCTGCAGTATCTGTAAGTTCTTATCCAAATAGTTTATATCTTGGTAGTTGTTCACAATAGGAAGTCGGACATTACATTTTCTGTCTCTTTTTTCAACTGCTTTGGGCATCAGGGCATGTAATTCTGATTATTTATCAGTGCCATTATGCCCCTTGAAAAGGCTCATGAATCCATTTACAGTGAAATTGCAAACACTAATAGATCAAAGTACCTTTGTCCCACCCTCGATCAGTTTGTAGTTTTGACAATGGCTGATGTATACATGTGCACATCAAATCATGTGTGGTTCTCTGCACATGGGCAGTACCTAATATATAATAGATGAGTCCCTGATTGTAGCTTATAAAAGCTTTGTTAGAGTTATTGAGGCCTTTATACCATACAGGCCCAGCCCCTTTTTATGTTCTAAGCTCCGCCAGTCAGTTTTGAATTTAGCAGTCTGGACATTTTCGTTATCGAGCATTATTGCACCACAACCTACACTATTAGAGCTAACATATTTCTGAACAGTATTCATTTACCAGTATTTTTATCTAGCTGGTAGATGATAACCTTTTTATGGCCTAAAGAAAATTATAAGGGCATGGATTTACTACTGACGATGATCAAAATACCTTGATATATTTTAGTAAAACAAGATATGTCATGCCTTCAGTTATAAAACTATGGTTGTCATCCTTGGTTAATTAGGAGATAGGGTCCTGTTCTCCCTAGTAGGCTAGGACCCTCCTGAAATGTGTTCATGATTTTAGACATTCAATGCCTAATTTTCTAATTTTAAAAGGTAGGGATGAATAATTTTCTATAACCTGCAAATTTGTCCATGATCTGTTTGTTTGCAGTTATGACTTACTCCCTCCGTTCCAAATTATAAGACGTTTTGGCATTTAACTTATATCTAGGTGCGTAGCGAAAGCTATGAATCTAGAAATGACAAAACGTCTTGTAATTTGGAACGGATGGAGTATGATACAAGGGCTTGATATAGTTAGACATTTTTCACTTAGTTTGATAGGCGGCTGTCAATTATTCATCCAATAATTATACTAGTATTGACCATTAGCACTGAAACAGGGAACTTTACAAGAATAACATTCAAGGAACAATCCCTTCTGAGCTTGGTAATTTGAAGAATCTGATAAGCTTGGACTTGTACAAGAACAACATTTCGGGGACAATACCTCCTGCCCTTGGAAAGTTGAAATCCCTTGTATTCTTGTAAGTTTATTTCTTTAAATTATGTTTACATATTGTAACATATTACATAGCTGTCAGCTTGTTACATCTTAGCAACTATACATGGATTTGATACTAGTTTTGCTGAAGATCATCATTCCATCTTCTTTAAATTGTGTTAGGCTGTGGTAGGTCAAGCATTGTGCTGTTCATAATTAGGGATAGTTGCGCATACGTTGAGCTTTAACTGCAGTTTGACCTTTATTTATGGTCATTATTCTTGTAATTTTAGCTATGCTTTCACATCATTCTACCTTTGCTAACATGTGGCTGCGCTTCGTAGGCGGCTCAATGGCAATCATTTGACTGGGCCGATCCCAAGGGAACTCGCTGGAATATCTAGTCTCAAAGTTGTGTGAGTAAAGATCAACTTCAAATGTTTAGTGTTCTATTCTCTCCATGTTAATACTCAATTTGACAATCTACCCACCTTGTTCTTTTAGTGATGTTTCAAGCAATGATTTATGTGGGACGATTCCCACATCTGGACCATTTGAACACATTCCTCTGAGCAAGTAAGTTTCATTGCCAGTTTGTATCTTATTGCGTACTTTGTAAAGATAAATTACACCTCAAAACATGGCTCCCTCTGCCAGCAGTAAGTTCATCTGTTAGATGTGTTTCATGTCCGCTCCTGTCAGTTCAGCATCGTTATATGACACTTCATTTTGTATTTTGCACTCATTTGTATGTATATATAATTGATCCTTAAATAACTAGTTCAAGGTTTACCCCATGTTTTATTGTTGCTGACATGCCTGGATTTTTTTTAACAGAAAAAATGGAGGTCATTTACTTTTTTTTCTATTACTTTTAGATCAATGATTTGAAATGATATGCCTAGAATCTTATCATCTGAGAGGGCATCCAGGTCCACAAATATATACTACTCTATATCTTGTTTAATTGGATTAGTCCTAGTGTCCTGCACTCGACCTAGTGGCTTCCTGGAATTTGAGAATAATTGAGCAGGTCAATCCAGGTTCCAAGCACCTTGTCCATTGTGTGTGTAGTGTTATGAAGGCATCTTTTTATAAACTACATTTTCTTTGGTTCAAAATACTGGGGGCTGTTGACAAGCTGCTGTCCATTTTCTTTTCTGGTCATAAGAACAGTAGAACAGGAGTGCTATCTATCCTGGACCATGTTAGTCAGAACGTTGTATTCTCCAGCATGCATGTTTTGTGTAACACGATGCATGTTTTACTTAACCATGTGCTTCCCTAAAGAAGTAACTTGTTGATGTTATGTACTTATGTTCCCCCCTGCAGCTTTGAGAAGAACCCACGGTTGGAAGGTCCAGAGCTACAAGGCCTTGCCATATATGACACCAACTGCTAGAGGGCACCACGAAGAAAAGAATTGCTAGAAAGTAATGAGCGTACAAGGTTACCAAAAATTGGGTGATATAGATTTATTAGGTCTGGTTCTGCTGCCACTCTGTAATCCTCCCTGCATAGCTCTTATTTGTAACTTGCTGTCTGCACGAAAGTTGATGTATGTTTTAGCAGAATGCTTTCTGTCCGTGAAAGTAAACTTGAAACTGCTTATTGTGACTGAAATGATATTGTCATTTCCCCTGTCATAAGTTTTGGCTTCCTTGTCTTTTCTACACCGAACTTGTCGGAAGTACGATTCAGTGAACTAGTTGATCCCTGCTGTGGCAAATCTATGGAAGGATGGTCATGATATGGATCGACTGAGACTTCGGCCAGGTGATTGAAATCATGGCACAAAAGAAGTGAAGTTTGGTTTTTGTTGTGGTAGCAGATAACCTTTGTCTGGTGGCGTCAGCATTTAGTTTTAAGGACATGCTGTTTACTGCAAGGCTGCAAGCTAAACACCATCTACTCTTGCTGGCATGACTTTACAGTCCAAGTTTGGCAAGCGTGGGCTGCACTTGTGTTGGTCTGACAGCTGCTTGAATTTTTCATCTTGCTTGCTGAGCCGAAGTAGATGAAGTTGGTGAATCAAGTCAATACCAGTGTACTACGTCCAGAATACTACACTGATAAGGCCAACCTAACCTTCCAACCTTGTTAGAAAACAAAGGAAAAACAGTCGCACTCATGCTAACACGTGATGAACAAGATAGCTGTCACTGCTGCTAGCTGAAGCATGTGTTGGTGAGTGGTGACCGTGGTAACACTGGCCCCAATCTTGCTGAACCGAAGATCACAGGCTGGTTTGCAGTTACCAACTGTCATTGTCAGCTCTGCAGTCTGCAGAGCGTCATCAGGGCCAAACAACTCAGAAAACGGCATTGTCGTGTTCGTGCACGTGCAGTGGTTTTCTCATGGTAGCTATAATTAACTCGCGGTAGTAAGGAAACGACAACTGCATATACTTGGGGGAATCGTATGAGCATGCGCAGATACCCATAGCCCGTCGCGATCGGTTGTACTCCCTTCATCTCAAATTATAAGTCATCTCAAATTTGCTTAAAAAAAAACTCAAATCCAGTGATTATATATTCATTGACAACAAATAGCAAGGAGTCCATTGGCGGATGAGCAACATCAACAGCTTCAACTGCTTCTGTTGTCTCGACGCCCCCGGCGAGCCGGCGCGAGCAAGTGGCTCCTGTGCTGGGGCCTCAAGAAGAGCGACGATCAGACGTGCTGCCCCTTCCCCTGTCTGGCTTTTAAGACGCGCAGGAAGCGGCGCCTCTGCTGCTGCGTACGGAGTATCGTAGTAGGCGGACACCGGGACATGACGCAATGATTCTTCAGAGTAGAACATACTGTATGGATGTCTTTTTTATTTTTTTGAGGGGTGGATGTCGATAGTCCAGTGTGAGTTGGGAAGTGTGTCATGTGCAGTGTGACTCGTATCACTTATGTTCATCGGCGACGGCGAGGGTGTGTACTGTACCGATCCGTGCGACCGTGCCCATCTCGCTTGGCTGGTCTTTGTGTCAGTGTGCGCCGTTCGGTTTGCTTCATGTAAAGTTCGTCGATTTTGCCGGGAATGGGGATGCATTTGGAGGTGTCTGTAAAAGCAGAGCTACTACTCCGTAGCATTTGCCGAAGATCCGACGACTCCTTAGCACCGGCGCTGGCCGCACGCCGGCCCGGCGCGGTATGCCCATCTGATCTCACGTCGCGACGTCCCGTGCACACGCACGGGGCGTCCCTTTCCCTTCCCTGTGTTTACGCACGCGGCACGCGCGCAGAGCGCAGATGGGTGTGCCGTGCCCCCGTGCCGTTCTAGAGGCCGAAAGGACGCGAGACCGAGGCACCGGGCCCACCGACCGCGCGGCGTCGATACCAGCAAGTACGAGCTGCGCGCGGTCGCCAGGCTCTCCACCTGGGCGGCCCCAAACTCCCAACTTCGACGCTATACGAAAGAAAATTTTTCATCACAGCAAACTTACGATATATATATATATATAAAGAAAATCGAGACAAGATTTGATGAAAGAATATAAATCATGAATAACTCTTAGTTATAATTTGAAAATTGAAAAATTTTACGATGTGTCTTAAAAAATCTTTTCATAAAAGTATACATAATCACTTTTGATAAATTTTATTTTATTAAATAAGTTAAAGTTATGTTTTGAAGACCGTACAGTTTCAAAATAACCCGTCGTATCAAACACCGTGCAAATGGTGATTCCGGCCATTCAGACATACCCGTCACATCAAACACCCTGCTAACAGGTAGCCAAACAAAGCTCCGACGAGGCAGCGGGCAGCGGGGCATGATCCTGCTGCGGCGCCTGGCGGGGGCCGCCCGCCCGCGGGGCCTCGCGGGTCGAGGCCTCGCCTCGGGGGCGCCGCGGGAGGCGGCGGACGCCGTGGTGGTGGGTGCGGGCGTCGTCGGTGGCCGGGCGCGAGGTGGTCGTGGTTGAGGCGGCCCCCAGCTTCGGCACCGGCACCAGCTCCCGCAACAGCGAGGTCATCCACGCCGGCATTTACTACCCTCCGCGAAGCCTCAAGGTGTGACCCCCCGAATTCACCATACGCGCGGTGCGCAGGGGGGGATCCTTGTTGATTTCTAGCACCTGATGCTTGCTTGGACGTCCATTTGGGCTTCAATTGTGATCGCTATGGTTTAACTTGTACTATGTGACGGTTGCCGTGCATACTTCCAAACTTATGCTTATTTGTTTGTTCAGACTGGAGACAGGTTGAAGAGCGTTGTGTAGTGGTACGGGCTACAGATAACCATTTAGCGATCCATGACAGGATTATGGATGTATCTATGAAATTTGTTCCAGATGACACCTGACACATTCTATCCTGCAGGTTGATCCCTTATTAGTGTTTGGTGCAAAATGGGGCTTGTCAATTGATGCACCCGAGTTCACAGAAATCTTTTGCTCCTCTAGTAATATTGCATTTTAGCTCTAACCTCTGTGGAAAGTGTTAGGCTAGATCTTATTCCTTCCAAAAACTAGCTGACCAGTTCTCAACATCTTAAATAGCTTACAGTCTGACAGTGGTCGGGGCGTTGACATACTTAACAGTAGACGTGCTTTAGGATTTTAGACAGTTCAACAAACATTAGTATATAAGAATAAGAATTGTGCATCTAACTTGAAAATAGTTCTAACTTTACAGGCGCTACATGAAACATTTATATGGAGCCCTTAATTAATGTATCATAGATTCTACCTGCGGATTGCCTTTTGTAGGCTACCCTTTGTGTAAGGGGAAAGGAAATGCTCTACAAGTACTGCGAAGAACGAGGTGTTGCCCACAAACGAATCAGCAAACTCATCGTTGCCACTGGTGCTGCAGAGGTTCCAAAGCTGGACATGCTCCTCAGGAATGCCGAAGAAAATGGGGTGGATGACCTTCAGTTGATGGAGGGTTCTGAAGCTATGGAGATGGAACCTGAGCTTCGATGTCTTAAAGCTTTACTATCACCTAGTACCGGGATAATTGACTCTCATTCACTCATGCTCTCGCTTTTGGTATGATGGCCATCATATAAATCAGTCTAATTTAGAATTTTAGGCTGAATTTGCTTTCACTGTCATTTTATTTTGATTGTTTTTGTGATGCAGGCTGATGCTGAAAACTTGGGAGCAACTGTATCATACAACACAGCAGTTATCAGTGCCCATGTTAGATCCGAAGGCCTTGAACTCCATGTTTGTGAAAGCAAAGAGCTGCAGAACTATCATGTAGGGTCTCATGTGAATGCACAGCTTGTTTTGCTTCCGAAGCTTGTGATAAACTCAGCAGGTCTGAGTGCAGTTCCACTTGCCAAACAATTTCGTGGCCTTGACCAGGCATTTGTGCCCACTCCTCACTATGCGCGTGGATGCTACTTCACCCTCTCTCAAACCAAGAGTCCTTTCAGGCGCTTAATATATCCTCTACCAGAGGATGGTGGCATAGGGGTCCATATCACTATAGATTTGAATGGCCTTGTCAGATTTGGTCCAGATGTTGAATGGATATCTGATGGCGGAAAGGACCATGTGTCATGTTTTCTGAACAAGTAAGCAATTGCCAACATGTGTACATTCAGTTATTAAAATATGCCACTGTTTTTTTTAAGCAAGAGACCCCACTCAATGGAGTTATGTTTCCCTTCATTTTTTATGGGGCTGAAATTTTCATGTTTTTTCTAGGAACACGATTAGCTTCTTGGTTCATGACCAAATGCTGTAATAAGTTATTCTAGATACCACCCTTTTTGACTGGCATGCTAATGCTAGTATTCTTATTTTGCTTATGATAGAATCTGTAGCAACTTACTAGTGATGATGATAAGGTAAGTTATAGATATACCCCTATTTCACATAACTGAACCTGTGTTTTCCCAAGAAAATGCAATTTGGTGCCGTACCATGCTTCTCATCTTTCTTACTATCAGCATGATTTATGGAATTTGGAGCACAATAATAGAATATTTTAGTAATTATCACAAGGTTTGTGACTTTAGAGTCTTATATCTTCATCAGGTTTGATTACTCAGTAAACCCCACCCGCTGTTCTGTATTTTACCCTGTGATAAGGAAATATTTTCCAAATCTCAAGGAAGGGTCTTTGGAACCTGGTTATTCTGGGATCCGACCAAAGCTTTCTGGTCCTGGACAACCTCCTTCAGATTTTGTTATTCAGGTGCTTACTGGTATCATATGTAGAACTTTGATAGGCATCTAGCTCTATATCAGATCCAAAAGCTTATTTTTCTCATGCACATTCATTACTGATTAGTTGAATGACTGCAGGGGTGGGATGTCCATGGTATTCCTGGACTGGTTAATTTGTTTGGAATAGAATCCCCTGGTTTGACATCAAGCTTGGCAATTGCTGAACACATTGTTTCAAAATATTTGTGATGGGAGTCTCCTAAACAAATCTTCATTGTCGGATGCTCCATGCACTGCAGAATAATGAACCTGACGTGTCAGGACTAGGGTTCGCCAAAGAAAATAATCCAGTAAAGAACATTTTGAGCTGTTTTCTTTTTTTCCTTGATCTTTCGGATGCTTATTGCATGTAATTGTTAGAAGATGTAATTCACTGAAAGTTCCAGCGAAACATGAATATGATGGGGATTGAAGCGGTATATGACACTTTCAGGGCACGGAACCTGGTCTGGACTCTGAAGGTCACGTGTGTTCTTTTGGGTACCATCGATTAGTTTGCATGTGGTTCTACCAAACTGGATTTCTGTGGCTTTGGCGGGTCTGAGCTTGTTGAATGCAAGGGAATGTATAGAGAAGCTTCCATAATCATACATGGCCAAATATCCAGTGTAGCAATCCTCTTTTGTTGTATGGATTCTTTAAAATCCTCGTTCTTTGATTATACTTCGACTTGAGAATAGATACATGGATCTATCCTCTTGTATCTGGCATTACTTGCTGACCTCAAGATGGATCACAAAACAGCCCATCACTAGGGGAATTCAACAGAATAGAGAACAATGAATTGAGATATGATGCATAGGATTGAATCATACAGAATCCAATCTTGTATAAATTAAAGTTACTCTTACATCTTATCCTAATTCTTTTTGCCCAACAGTTTTGACAGACATAGTAGTTCTTGCGGAGGGCTACTTTTACAGGGAAATATTTTAGGATCCAAAAAGAGCTGTTCAATCACCAGCTTCTGTACGCCACTATGACCATACTTCCACTACTAATGCCTCGCCTTTTCCTCCCTCTGCCACCCATTCATATCATCTGAAAATTGAAGAATGAGGGTGAGCACAAATTAACAAGATCAGCACGGAAAAAAAACTAAGTAACTTATGACCTCACCGCTTCCTCTGTGCTCGCCATTTATAAACATGCTGTGATGTTTGATTATCCGTCTCCTCATCTTCATTGAGTTTCAGTTTCCTCTTGCGTCCAGGTTTCTGAACCAGCATTACAAATTGAATAGTTACAAATGGTACATAATTTTCTGTAAATTCTAAATATTAGCAGACAGACTTTCAATTATCATCACAAGCTGGCAAGCTGTCTGTGAATTCCCAGAAACTAAATGATTTACAGATTCCAGATTAGCGCAATTTTAGCAAGATGCTGCAGGAACATGAACGAGTTCGACTGATCTGGCTGGGCTTCACATTTTAAATTTAAGACAGAATAATGATAATTTTTATGGCACAAAAGCGCATACTGCCGCAATTACCCAGTTAAACTGGAAAACTGCCAGCTTCCAACTTATGCTCATTGTGTCATTAATTTTCTAGTTTTTTTTTTCTTGGCCAGTGAGAGTAGGTGCTGCCAATGACTTGAAAACGAAGCTTCCATATGATACTTAAATTTCCTTTCAGAAACATGCTGGAAAGTAACTATTTAACAAAGTAGCAGATCATTCAGCCAGTCTATACAGTACCATCCTTCTTTTTCCTATCGACTTGAGCGGGCAACTGAGAACACAAAATATACCAATAACTTTTAGGGAAGTGTTGTGGCTAACGCCAACTAAAGGATGGATGCATTCCATCTGATACTGAAGTTAATTCCAGAAATTGGCTGGCAGCAGCACCAACCCAGTCCACAATGCTTTTATATGTTGTTTCAATTGAACCTTTGAAATTAGCACCCAAGTAAAGAAAAATTCAAAATACTGCCCCAACTTGCTTGGGACTGAAAGGCTATGTTGTTGTTGTTGTTGTTGAGATGCAATACCTTCAATTCTTTTTGCAAGGCCATGTCTGCATACAATTTCTCAAGCTTTTGAAGCCGCTGCTTCCTCTCTTCTAACTCCCTGTACGAAGAGGCAGTTTTTCTGGGGAAAAAAACAAAGGATTATACAACAGGGGATAGCAGTCAATTGCATAATATCATAACCCCATTTCAATCATGCACACAATCATACTAGTCCTAGTTAAATGGACACAAACACAAATATAAATAATAAGACTAAACAGTAAAAATGACTCCCATAAGCATGATGCTATTAAGCATAGGTATAGAAGTGATACACACGTGCCATTCCGAAGAGGAGAGCATATTACTTCTTTATACGAGAAGGGATGTTGTCAAAACCAGGCATGTTGCTGCTTTGTCCTATCCTTGATTGTATTTCTTTCGCTTCTTCTCTGAAATAAAACAGCAAGCCACCTAAATGTCAGCACAAACTTAACTAGCAGATAGTTCCAAAAATGGTAAGCAAATGAACTCATTACTGTACCTGTCTTCAGCAAAATAAACATGCTTGTTTTGAGGCTTGTTATCCAGTTCATGAAGTGTTGACCTTAACTTTTCAATTTTCTGCCAAGTGACCCATCCAAATTAAAACATAATGAAACATTCAGCCACCGGACACAAAATTGTACATATTTGCTCTGAATACTTTAACATCATCACAAACCTTTTTTTCACTTTGAACGCTCTGAAGGATATATCCCATATCCTTATTTTTTAACAGAAGAAGTTCCTCTTCTGTATACTTATTATCTTCAGGCCTGAAATGCATGGCATAGTCAAAACTAAAACACACAGGGTAGACCAAACCTTACAATACTAGAGTTAAGAGGGGCCGAGGGACTACATGTACATACTTAGGTCTATGAATTCCACCAACAGTCCTACTGTTGATCATTTTAAAGTAGAATTCATCCGGGTTCCTAAATGCTGCCTTCTCCTTCAGTTTCTGTGAACAATTACAAACAACAAGGATTTTAGATTATGCAGTCACAGCATCTGTAGACTAAGATAGCTAAAGATAGTTAAACTGCTAATAACATGCTAAAATTATATCTAAATCTGATACAACAAGCAACTTCCCAACTTCCTAAGCGCTAGAAGCAAGGATTGGACAGAACAGGAGCATACCGCGATGGTTGCCTCCTTGATGTGGTAAGCACGCGCCCGGACGACATAGTCCTTGTGTTTCTCCAAAAGCCCAAACTTCTTCCTCGCCTCCCTGCAAAACTCCATCCAGACCCAAAATCAGCACCCTTCGTTTTCGGAGACGGGCCCGTCCAGCGGCGGCGCCATCCTCTCGGATTCGAATGGTAACAGGTAACATCTGCGGGCAGAGAACTTACGGCTGGGCGCGCTCCTTGTGAGCGCGCCGCGGGATCGCATTCCGCAGCGACGACATCTTCCCCTCCTGTCTGCTCCTTCCGCTACCGTGATTTTGTCGGCCTACACTTCGCTGCCGCGGATATCGTCGGAGAGAGCTGCGCCGGGACGGAAGGGGAAAGGAAATCAGCCGCCGAGGCCGAGCTAGGGTTCAGGGTTGGGGAGTGTCCAACTGGTCGGAGCTCGACTCGCTGGCCCAAGTTTTTGCGGTTCTTGGGCTGAATTTGTTTCGACCGTGGCCTGTGGGCTGTGGGCTCCTAGCCCAGGTTAACATTGTTTCCTTTTTATTTCGGATTTTCTGTTGGCAACCATGTTCATTGTTTAACGAAGCCGATAGGTGTATGAAGTAGTTCCGAAGAAATTATAAGAGAAAATTAGTTTGTAGGCCCTAAAAAAAGTTGTGCTTAGTTTCTTGGTCCTTTTTCTTTTGAACTTGTCTATCAGACCTATTCGATGAGAAGTATTATATCATACCTTAGAAACGTCAAATTTACAATGGCATAGACCTAATTATCTTGAGCATTCCATAACCTGAGCAAACATAGGCTCAGATATCAGAAGGGCGAATAGGTGTTACAGAAAAGCATTATATGCACGAATCATATCATTATTATATAGCACGAATCATGCACTAATGTGGCGGACGAATAAATATCTTTGTATTATTCATCTTACTGCTTCTCGATTACAGACTACAATTCGGATAGAAAATGAATATGCCATGCTGCTGCTATTTGCGTTTCTGCCCAAACAGGAATTTACAACTAATAATTTTCAAAATTGTAAGTTCAAAGAACAGCAACTTCGATTTACAGCATCACCAGTCTAACATTTCCGACGGACAAGGAGGTTGGAACGGTGACAGTTTCAGGAGAGGCCAGACCCAGTCGCTACTCTGCGGCCTCAGGTCAGGGTTCAGGCTTCAGGCTTCAGAGCTGAATGATCTCCTGTCGGATGGATGACTTCCAGAAGCCGCAGAATTTTTACCGCTGCCATTGGTCAGCAACTCGAACACCTCGAACTGTTCGAAGTCAAACACCTCATACTGCCTTAGGCTGAACCTGTTCGAAGTCAAACACCTCGAACATCAAGCGCCGCACGTCAGGTCTGCCATACACACAGTATGCAAGCCCATGTAGCGCTTGCTGGACAGAGGTCGTTGAAGGATTCCTTAGACGTCGATTGTGTTCGAATCTGTCTTGCACTGTCTCCCCGTAGATAATGTAGTGCTGCAGGTGCTTGTCCCGCAGATACCGTCCGCAATACTTGTTCATCAACATCCTCCGATGCTTCTCCGCCAGCCACCTGCCCGGTGCATCGAGGTGCTTCATGAGTAGCCTCTCTGCCATTACTAGATCCTGGCACATAGAAGTTCAGACCTTCAGAATTGCTCTTGGCCAATTGAACAGTGGCAAGACACTAGAAACTACTCCCTCCATCAGGGAAAGAAGGTACAGCATACCTGAATTTTCTGGCCGACGTATTCAAGCCGCTCATAACAGAATCTTGGATGCTCAAACTTATGTTTTGACGGGTGCGAAAAGCACAGCTGCAGGGAAACAAAAGCACCATGATGGCCTGTCTGGGTCTGTTTTCTCATATTGTAAATGTAATGGAAGCCAGCAGGTTTCTCTTTTCTATGTCATGAAGGGAATACATAATACTTTTTTTTTCTAGAACGGAATACAGAATACTGATAAACCTGAACTCATATTACAACTGAAAAGTGGTATGTGATTTAAGCCTGGAAGCAGTTTGACGATTAAGGTGCACACTACAACAATGTGTGATGATCAAAATAAACTATTTGTGTATCATTACATTCAAACCTAACCTAGCAATTTTTCAAATGTCATAAACCAACGCTTTTGGCTAAACTTCACTGTATCCCATCACGAATCATAAAACACTTGGATATTGCCAATCAGTCAGCCAACACTTTAGCGCCACAAATACACTCACTGCAGTTCAGTCTTCACAATCGATCATCCAAACTATATTCCCTCATTACAGCTACATATATTATAGGAGTAAAAAATGGCATTCTCATGCTGAGTCAAAAGGACCTGTATTCTCGACTGTGTTGTTTTCTACATGTAAGAGTCAAGTTGTGCACTTCATTTCCTTTTCTGATTTACGATTCTAGCTAACTGCTATAGAAAAATATAATTTCAAAAGGCTACTTATGTATCAATTTCCTTTTCTGATTTATGATTATGGCTAATTGCCACAGAAAATAGAATTTCAAAAGGCTAACTATGTAAAATATCGGGAACATGCTTCGCAGATAGTTAAATAAAAATTTTGAAATAAATGACAAAAGGGGAGAAAAGCTGGTCTGGCGACGTTGAGTTACCTGAAGACCAAGTCCAAGCTCTATATTCCTTGCTTCTGTGATTTCTGGAATTCTGTCATTCATGGGCAAGGGATATCCTAGGGTATTCATAACCTTGGGTCTACTGTCAAAATCCCAAATATTTCCTCTGAAGCGATGCATGCCTGGTGGCACACAAGCTCGGAAAAGCCTAGGATGAGCAAAAAGAGCATCTGGTGGCGACTGCATGAGATGTGACAAGATAAGATAGGAGCAAAGAGTGAAGATATAGGGAAAACAATAATAAGAACCATTACCCTGTAGGCAGCAACATCCTGCCACGTGAGCTGCCTCTTTTCAAACTCCACAGAAACAAAATCAACATCCTCTAGTTGACGACGCAATTTTGGCTGACAGCTCTCATCGTCTGGGTCCATCCCAAATGCCTCAAAAAGGACACGATAGACTTCAGGCATTCCAAAGCACAAATATATAGCTCCAAATATTGCCCAGAATACAGCCCTGCAATGCAACACAACTAGGCATTTTACTAAAGTTCACCAAATAGGCATGCCAACCAGCAGCACACATTCCTACACGGCTCTAAATTAGCACACATTCTCAGGCTACTAAGTTTTCCACAGTGGGTTAGCACATCAAAAGGAGTATAGACCAATACAAAATAAAGGGATGGAACATTGTAAATTTGTAATAATGTATCATTGTATAATTTATTATACATACATGGTGACAACTTGATCATAAAGGCTACAGAAAATTCATCTTGCAATATTGAATCATATCGTGAAAAAAAGGGGGGAAATGTACAATAGGCAAACACCTTATCATGCTTAAACTAGCGAAACCTATATAAAATTCGATGACTAATGGGCTAATAATCTTAGCAATAATGATGTTTGGACGTCCTAACCTGTTCGTATCTGATTAATTACGATGTGACTACTCGCACAAATGTGGTTGCTTGAATTTGCACACACCAACCACTAGCTACTCAGATTATGAATTTATGATCACACACCTCCAGTTTGGCTATTCAATACTGGGAAATCTATGTGTTGATAAATGAAAAGGCTGCTACTGTTGCTGATTCATGGGATGGAGATACTCTTAAATGTACTTTTAGAAGGTGTGTAGACAATAGGCTGTGGAATCTGTGGTCTGAAGTGATACAATTAGCCTCTACTATTGTGTTTTCAGAGGAAGAAGACTCTGATTTGGCAATTTAATTCATCTGGAGTCTATTCTTCACAGTCTCTTTATAGGGTAATTAACTGTAGAGGTGTGATTCCAGTTTATACACCTGCTGTTTGGAACTTTAAAATTCCCCCTAGGGTTCATTTTTTTCTTGTGGTTGCTCTCTAAAAACAAGCTGTTAACTAGAGACAACTTAGGAATTAGGAAAAGGCTTGATGATATTAGTTGTCTTTTTTGTAAGGAAGCTGAGTCTATTCATCATCTTTTTTTTTAATGTGTAGTAGCTAAACAGTTATGGAGTTTTACCTCTGAGGCTCTAGGTAAAGAGGTAGGGTTGGACTTTATTTCTATAGGAACAATGTGGACTAGTAATAAGAAGTTCATAGTAGAAAACATGTTTTGCTCAGCTGCCCTGTGGGGGATTTGGAAGCTGAGGAATTGTCTATGTTTTCAGGGCACAAAGTGGAAGAATGGACATCCACTGTTACTGCAGGTAACAGTGATGATCCAGAGCTGGTCTCTTCTCTGCCCCAAGGAAAAACAGGGGGACTTCACTTCTCGGCTGGACAGACTGAATGCATCTCATCAAGACCCCTCCAGATTACCTTCTGAACCAAGTTAGTAACAAGTGGGAGAGGTTCTTATATCAGACGGCTACCAACTGGAGATGCTCGTTGGTCCCTGAAGAAGTTGGGTACCTGTTGGTGGATGCTGCAAGTCTGGAGCAAGCAGCCTCGGAGAAAAAGTGGCTTAATCGGTCAATGTTTGGTGATGCATGGAAAATGTAATCTAGGTGTTTGGTCAGGATAGTGGTCTTTTTGCTGCATGCCTAGGAGTTGCAGTTGTTAGTCGCTGAATTCTCACTCTTGGAAGTAGTAGAATTCTTACTCTCATCGAGAGAGAATGACACTAGGAGTTGGGACAATTTTCTGATTTATTTCTCAATGCCATACCAACCTGAGGGGTTGGGGTTACATATTTATAGGCTGCTAGCCAGCCAAGCATATGCCAAGATGCTAGTCTAAGATGCTAATATGCTGTCCTAGCTAAGATGCTGTCCTCTAGTCTAAGATGCTATCCTCTAAGATGCTGTCCTCTAGTCTAAGATGCTGTCCTAAAAACAGAAAAACAGCCACAAGGACCATGTGAGCAGCACAGCCCCACAAAGACCAGCCACACATAAGACTTATCCATCATTCTCCCCCTAAGTCTTGTGTGTCATCTTGTGGGAGAGTTGAACCATCCCGGTCCTGGAGCAGAGCTCAAGGAACTTGATCCTCCCAAGGGGTTTGGTGAGCAGGTCCGCAAGCTGGTCCTTGGTGTTGATGTAGCTCGCCTTGATGCTCTCTTCCTCCAAACAGCCTCGGATGAAGTGGTACCTCACCCGGATGTGCTTGCTTTGCGTTCAGTGGAACACGGGGTTCTTTGCCAGGGCAGAAGCGGACTTGTTGTCCACCCCCGAGCTCCACCCGCCTAGTGTCTCTGCCGAGGAGATCACCAAGCAATGAGCGAGCAGAGCGCTGAAGTCGAAGCGGTGGAGGCCGCTATGTACTCGGCCTCGCAATGGGCAGGCCACCACTGGCTGCTTGACCATTGACCGCCTGCCTAACGAGGCACTTGCCGAGGAAGAAGAGGATCCCGCTTCGTGCTCTTGCCGGTGGTGTCGATGTCGCCGACGTGGTCATCATTGTCGTTGTACCCGACGAAGTGTGCCGCCTGTGGCACCTCGGGTAGTAGAGGCCGTGGTCGAGAGTCCCCATAGCGTAGCGGATGATCCTCTTTACCGCTTCTTTGGTGCTCCGTCGTCGGTCATTTGCATGAACCGACTAACGAGCCGACGGAGAATGCCAAGTCCGGTGTGTAGGTGGGCGAGGTAGCGAGAGGCTCCCACAAGACGCCGCAGATCACTGCGAAGCGCCCACCTCCTCCGGCGGTTGTCGGCTCGGCCGACCGACCTCTCCTCCATCGGAGTGAGAGCTGGGTTGCAGTCGGTGAGCCCAGCTAGCTCAACTGCGTGATCCCGGAGTCATCCTGGTGCACCTCGATTCACAGGTAGAAGGAGAGAGGCCCCAGGTCACTCATCTGAAAGGTGGCCTTCATCTCTTCCTTGAATGCCACCACCTCCGCATCCTTGGTGCCGGTGATCACCAAGTCGTCGACGTAGACACCCACCAGCAGAGCATTACCTCCACTGCCCCGTCGGTAGATGGCCGCCTCGTGCGGGCTTTGCTCGAAGCCCATCCCCTTTAGCGTGGAATCCAACTTGGCATTCCATGCCCCCTGCGTTCGCCGCAAGCCATAGAGGGCATTGCGCAGCGGTGAGCACCCTGCCTCCTTGCCGGGGATCGCAAATCCCCATGGCCGGTGCACGAGACCTCCTCCTTCAAGTCGCCGTTAAGGAACGCCGACTTGACGTCCATGTGATGAACACGCTGTAACACCCCGGTGTTATGCCTACGTTTAGGCACTGCAAATCACGCATATCATGCATCATCAAGCATCCTATTCATACATGCGTAATCTTGCATATAACAACTGAAACATTACTTCGAAACATACGAAACATGTTTGTGAAAAGTAAATGATGCATACACTTATTAGAGTTGTTTTGCCCTGATTCTTGCTTGCTAGGTTAGTAGAACTTGTTTGGTTATGATTGTAAATCATCTAAAATTGTTTAGCAAAATTTTTGGAGCAAGGTTTGTATTCAAATTAATTCAAAACTTTGCTTCCAAAGTAAATTCCCAAAATTAGGGTTTTGAGTTAAAATTTAACTTTGATTCTATAATTTAAAAATCTAGATAGAATTGGACTTTGGTCATAAAAGCAAAGTTGTAGGGAATTAAATTCTAAGCAACTTTCATTTTTGGTACATTTTCAAAAGAGGTCATTTTCTTGCTCAAAATAATGTTTGAAAGTTGGCATTTAAAAATATCTTGAATTTTTATTTGAAAGGAATTTTCTCCTCATGGGCACGCTGCCTCGCCGTTCAGCCCACCCACCAAGAAGCCGCCGGCGCGCCCGCGCCGCCCTTCGCTCCACTCGCGCTTGGCGCTTGGCCGCCATCGGCACGGCGGCCAGCGCCCAGGCTGCGCGCGCGCCGACGCCAGACCGGCTTTCATTTCGCACTGTTGCTGGCTTCCTACCAGACACCTCGGCGACCGGGGATGGTCCCTGGCCACCGGCGAGAGACTCGCCTTCAAAATTTGTCGTCCGGCGCTGCGCCTCCTCCCCGCGCTCCTCGCTTTTGCCGCTTTTGTCTCGCCGCCTCTTGCTCGCAGAAGAAGAAGAAGAACAAGAGCTGCCGCCGCCCGTCGCCTTGCCGACGACGTGCTCCACCGCCGCTTCATTCTTCGATTCATCTCGCCGGAGCTCGCCTCGCTTAGCTCCTTCGCTTATGCGCGCTCACTCGCATGGCCGGTGCCGTCGTCAAGGTAAGGGCCGAGCTCGGTGTCTCTCTTCTTTCACCGGCGTGCGAGCTGCCGTGGTCGTGGAACGCCACGACGCCGGGCCACCTCTAACCTTCCCAGAGTGCGGCTCCGCGTGGGGATCATTGGTACTACCTGCATCTTCGGAGGAGCTCGCCACGGTGGTGGCCGGCCGTGAGCCTATCCTCGCCGGTCGTCGACCGTGGGTCATAGGCCCAGTGCGGCAGTGCAATGATCGAGGGAAACCCCGGTGCACACGACCGGTGCACCTAACGTTTGCATGCGCTGGTTTTTCGTTTTAAGGAAATGGGTTTTGAGAAATGGTTTAAAAATTTGATTCAAATGCTTAGTAAATGTATATATCAAGTTGTGTTGCTCCAAAACGTATGAAACAAATTTTGTTATGCTTCTTGTGACTAGATCTATCTCGTTAAAAATATTGCATGTCAAATTTGTGATACTTTTTATGTGTAGCTTTATTTAAAGTGAATAAATGCTGATTTCGAAAAAATGTCTAGTAAATGAAATATACCTCCTCGAAAAATATGCTTCCAGCTTTGTTAGTTTCCTTGAGTGATGTACTTTCTGTGAAAAATGTATGCCATGCATGTCTTTGTGGGAAAATTTTGAGGTGTAGTTCAAGTACCTTAAATGGCTGATTTTTGTTATTTTTGCTAGAGAGCAAAATTTGTATAAAACATGCATGTGGTAATTTGTGTATAGTGATTATTTCTTTGTTTAGAATCTAGGAAAATACTCAATTTGTTGTTTGACACTTTTCATAGTACAAAAGTATTTTCATGCTCATTTTTATGCCATAGCTTGTCATTTTTATGTAGGATAGTTTACTTATCCAAATGCCATGAAATTTTATGGTAT